TCCATCTTTCTTTTCCTCCTCTCTCTCTTCTTCCTCGTTTCTTTCCTTCTGTTCTCTGTTTTCCCTTTCTTTTTCTCTTTTCACCCCTCCTTCTCTCTTTCCCTTCTCTTCTCTCATCTTCCTTTCTCTTTTCGTTCTTCCTTTTTTTTCCTTCTTCTTTTTTCCTTTTTTCCTCTTCTTTCCTGTCTCCTTTTCTTTTTGTTTCTTTTCTTTTTTCTTCTATTCTATTCTCTTTTTCCTCTTTTTTCTTAATGACTCGATTTCATCATCATTTCTTATATCATTTTTTCAACATTCTTCTCCTCTTCTTCTTCTTATCCACTTAATGTTCTATGTGGTTATCCCTTTCTTTATCCCTTTTTTCCTCTCCTCTGCGTCTTTCTCGTCCCCTTTTCCTTCCCCCTTTTCCTTCTTCTTCTCTCTCCCTGAATTGATAAGAACAGTAATCGAAGGTTTAGAATGAAATAAGACACGGGCACGCAGCACACGTTTCTGCAACGCGTCAAAAAGAACAGCGAGTTCTCTTCTCATACAATGCTGATATTGTGATAGAATATAACACTTCAGAGGGGTTGTACGCGATACGGGCTCGCGGCCGATCACCACACCCACCCATCTCCTTACCATCCCCACCACCCCACCGTGGCCAGAGTCAATCGTATATTTATGGCAAAGTGTCAGATAGCAGTGTTGATATTACCTGTTAGCGAGCTCGGGTAATTTTTTCACGAAAAAGATATGACTGCGCAAAAAATCTCACGGGTCTGAGTTGACGCGTCATAAACTTACTCTACTTTGTAGCCAATCTCTTAAAGAGTAACGAAAATAACCGTATAACGCGCGCGCGTTATGTGTTTATGGTGAGTTTATATGTGATTGGCCTATACACAGAAATTTGCTAAGTTATACACACACACGTTGCCACATTTATCTTGATATGCATTTTTTTTTTCGTTTTGACCTTTTCTACGTTATCTAATTTGTGTTGTTCTTCGTCAAAACATTGCTATTTCTAGACACACAAGCTGAAACAATGTTTTCAATTGCTATCACATCTTTTAAGGTTTAAATTTGGAGAGAAAATAGCATCGCGTATCTGCACTTTCCCACATGTGATTGCCATTTTCTATTTACGTCGCAATTTATCATTAAAACCCACAAACACCATCAACTGTACAGAACTTTATTTATTGGGGAAATGTAATATGAATTGTGCAGTGGAACCTGAGAATGTATGTTAATAGGTTCCTAGCAAAATCCCACTATTCTGTGCATTACATATTCATGTGCCATATATGATTTTGCATCGGGCATATATTTTTATCAGAAGTCTATATTATAATATATCCTACACTCCAGATTTTATGACCCAGGGCGTATTCATTAAGCATAGCCTCAGGTGCTTCTCAAGGCTCCGCGGGCATGCTATTTTAAATTAGCGTGTCTTTCTCTCACGGATCCGTTTACACGTGCGTACCTGACCGACTATGCGAGCGTCGAGTCTAAGACTGTCGTCGCGCTTCATACCTGGCAGCCTGCTCGGATGCGGTTCGATTAGTGAGTACTGCGCCTGGCGGAGTCA